AACCTCGAGAGGCTCGACCGCGTCTACCTGGGACACACCTGAAGGGGCAGGACCCTGAGGGGGGAGGGGGTCTACCGGGGGGGGACCTGGTACCAAGAAGAGCGGGGGCGGGGGGAGGGACGGAGTGCGGTAGGGGAAGAGGCGGTAGTAGGGTACCGACTCGTCGAACGTGACGTCCTGGGAGGACAGAACACGACGAGAGGTGGGGTGGTAGAACTGCCACCCAGGGGCGTCGGGGGGGAACCCCAGGAAGACGTAGGGAGCAGCGCGAGGGGACAGCTTGTCCGCAGACAAGTCGCGGACAAACGCCCGAGATCCCCAGACCCGGAACGCCGACGCATCGCCAACCTTCCCCGTCCACAGAAGGGCTGGGGAGGTCTCCGGCCTGGAGACCCTGGGGTGGAGGTTGATCTGATGCGCCGCGTACCTGACCGCAAACGGCCACAGAAAATGGGGGGCAGCCGCATGCATCATAGACGTACGAGCAACGTCCATGACCATGCCAATGCGGCGCTCTGCAATCCCATTTTGCTGCGGTGAGTCCGGAAGCGTGAAGGTCTGGCGGATGCCTCGCGCACGACAGTAGGCACGCAGAAGGCCAGAGGAGAAGTCTCCGCCTCTGTCCGAGTGCAGACGCAACACCGAAAAGTCCGAGCCAAAGCTCTGCCTGAGCTGGAGACGAGCTGCGCGGATCCAGTCGATCAGCACCTCAGTGACATCACCCTTGTTGCGCAAGGGGAAGACTGTGGTGTAACGCGAGTAGTCGTCAACCACCAGCAGGAAGTAGCGCTCGTGACCGAGTCCACGGACGCGGGCAGGGCCCCACACGTCCATGTGAAGCGTCTGCAACGGAGCCTCTATCGGAGGAAACTGGGAGGAGTGAGGGGCAGCACGCTGGCGCCCCTCAACACAGGGGACACAGGCAGGGCCAGGGCCCTGAGGAAGGGGAGGTAGAGACCGGGGGAGACCAGACACAAGAAGACGGGAGGCCATGCCTCTGAGCCGAAGCAGAGAGGGGTGGCCAAGACGGTGGTGCCAGAGGAGGGTCTCGTGAGACAGACGGCGACACGAACAGGGGGCAGACTCAGGACCAGACCTGGACGCTGCAGCAAACACCTGACCAGACGAAGGGACTCTACCAGACTCAGCACTTGGAGGAGAAGCAGTGGTCAGTGTGTACAGGCTCGACCCTGGCTGACGTGTAAACGTAGCCAGGTGACGACCCGTGCTAGCCTCCGTGCAGTGCGTCACTCGCTGACTAGCAGGGGTGAACTGGTGGACTCCCACATCCTGTAGGTCAGCACCACTCACCAAGTTCGTAGAGAACGAGGGGAGGTAGAGACCAGACAGGGTGCCAGAGGGAGCCGCCGGACACGGGAGGACCGTGGAGAAGCGAGCCAGGACAAGACCCCCAGAGGGGTCAGCCAGGGAAACCGCAACCGGCCGACTAAGCGGCGTAAGTGTGGTGCGGTCCTGAAAGAAAGAGCGAGACGCTCCAGAGTCAAGAGTGAAGGTGTGGGAGGCCGAAGCCGACGCAGTACCTGAGAGCGCAGACGCACTAGTACCTGAGAGAGCAGTCTCACGAGGACCTGAGAGCACAGACGCACTGGCACCTAGAGCAGAAGCCTCACCGGCACCTGGAGCAGCAGTACTAATGCCCGGGTCGGGCGGGAAACACCGGTAACAGTCACCCTCCTCACTAATGGTCACAGCATACATGGCAGCAAGGATAGCATCAAAATCAAGATCAAAGATAGCTACACCAGCCCTAGACAGCTCTCCCCAGCGGGGGATCTCCGCGGCCTCCGGGAACTGCTGACGCCAAGCGTCCGTCAGGCGGCCAAAGCAGCGCTGGGTGGAGTGGGCACCCCCACACTGCTCTCCAGTGCGGTCGCCAGTGCGGAGAACGTAGGTGCAGGGACCAAAACCCCCACCGCGGTGACGCTGCGTGTACCACTCACGGAGCTGCTGAGGGGTGGGGACGTCACGAGAACGCTGCTGCTGCTGCTGCTGCTGCTGGCGCTGACCGCCACCAGTGCCGCTCCGCTGCGAAGCTCCACTCCGACCACCTCCACCTCCGCCACCCCCGCCTCCGCCTCCACCGCCCCCGCCTCCACCTCCACCGCCGCCACCTCCGCCACCTCCGCTACCACCGCCACCGCCGCCGCCACTCCCGCCTCCACTGCTGCCACTAGCACCCCCACCCTCGCTACCACCTCCACCGCCACCCCCACTCCCTCCGCCGCCTCCACCTCCACCGCCACCGCCCCCACTGGCCCCACCCGCTCCCTTGCCCCCCTTGCCCTTGCCAGAGCGGCGTCTCCCGCTAGGGGCAGACGTCGCACCGACCGACTCAAGACCAACGAGGTCGGCCGCAGCGGCAGAGGCGACAGAGGGCAGGAGAGGGGAAGGAGAACACCTCTCAAAGATGGGGGCGCGGGGCTCACCTCGAAAGGCTCCTACAGCAACTATGCTCTTCTCTGCTGCAAGGAGGGCCTTCTCAAGGCTGTCGACTGTGAGGGTGGTGGGACAGACCGCGAGGAAGTGGTCCCGGACTACACGAAGGGAGTCAGGGAGGCGAGTGACTAAGAAGTAGAGAGTGATGTACATGGGGGGGGGGTTCTTGGCGCAGAAGTCAGCAGGAAGCGCAGCGCGGTAGCGAGTGTCACTAGTGCGGAGGTGCATGATGAGATCAGCGACAGTGGGAAAGGCGGCAAGGTCAGGGAAGAGGAAGGGGAGCATGAGGCGGCTCAGTGCAGCAGTGGCAGGGGAGGAGTAGCGCGCAACTACAGCGTCGTACAAGGTCTGAGCACTCTTGTACTGGCTAAAGTGCGCGCGCTCAGCGGTAGGCAGGTGGCGACGCACAGCAAGACGTGCAGCAGCATCGCGCGTGGCCCACTGAGAGCGAACAGTGGCGTCAGCATCAGCAGCAAGGGCAGGGACGGCGCCAGAGGTGAGGTCAAAGAGAGACAGACCGTCGGCCCTGTCGCACTGTAAAAACAGCTGCAGGTCGTCGAGCCAGACCTCAAAGTCAATGGCTCGACCCTCAGCGTCAAAAGCGAGGACACTGGGTGTAGCCATGACGACGACAGTGGAGCAGTGCAAGCAGTAGGGGAAGGGTACGCAGTGACAGCAGTGCAGTGCTCACCGGGCAGGGCAGGTCGGGCGGCTCGGGAGGAAGGTCGCCTGGCGAAACGGCCGCTAGGCTGCTGGGCTGCTCGACTCCCGGGCGGCTCGGCTGCTGCTGGGCGGCTCGGCTGCTGCTGGGCAGCTCGGCGGCTGCTGGGCGGCTCAGCGGCTCCGGGCGGCGCGGCTGCTGCTGGGCGGCTCGGCAGCTCCGGGCGGCTCGGCTGCTACTGGGCGGCTCGGCTGCTGCTGGGCGGCTCGGCGGCTCCTGGGCGGCTCGGCTGCTTCGGGCGGCTCGACTGCTGCAGGCGGGCGGCGCGAGAGCAAGGGGCGGCGGGGCCGTTAGTGCTGGGGCGGCGGGGCCGCGAGACTAGGGGCGGCGGGGCCGCGAGACTAGGGGCGGCGGGGCCGGGAGCGCTGGGGCGGCAGGGACGTGAGATCAGGGACGGCGGGGCCGCGGGCGCTGGGGCGGCGGGGCCGCGATCAGGGGCGGCGGGGCCAGGAGCGCTGGCGCGGCGGGGCCGCGTAATAGGGGCGGCGGGGCCGGGAGCGCTGGGGCGGCGGGGCCGCGAGATCAGGGGCGGCGGGGCCATGAGCGCTGGGGCGGCGGGGCCGTGAGATCAGGGACTGCGGGGCCGCGGGCGCTGGGGCGGCGGGGCCGCGTATCAGGGGCGGCGGGGCCAGGAGCGTTGGGGCGGCGGGGCCGCGAGATCAGGGACGGCGGGGGCCGCGAGTGCTTGGGCGGCGGGGCCGCGTATCAGGGGCGGCGGGGCCGGGAGCGCTCGGGCGGCGGGGCCGCGAGATCAGGGACGGCGGGGGCCGCGAGCGCTTGGGCGGCGGGGCCGCGAGAGAAGAGGCGGCGGGGCCGCGTTCACTGGGTGGCGGGGCCGCGAGGGTAAGGCCGGCCGCTAGGGCGGCTCGGGGAAGGAGTGGCCCGAGGCGCGACTCGGGATGAGTGCGCTTCGGGCAGGAAAAAAGATTTCGAGTGGTGGGCCCTAGGCACAGTTCCCAAAGGGGAACCTGCTCTATACCATGTGGAAAACTGAACGAGAATGAATGAACTATCAATGAAGTGATTACAAATATGAAACCCTAATTGGGTTGTACCCCCTATGGGATACCCCACTATAGCCTATACAAATAAGTAAGCTATAATTTTCTGACAATAAGATACTGTTCACAATGCATTAAACCATATGATTTTTTCTGCAGTTGTTTAGTGCAACTTTGCTCTGCTGTTTGCATTTTATGTTTTACTATTGGATGATGATGTGTAATGATAAAAAGATGCATGCATAATGCATAAAAGATGATATATAATGCATAATGCATGAAATAGTGCTATATAATGCATGTGATATGTCATGAATGAATCATGAACATGATAAAATGGGTGACAGTTAACAACCTAAAAACTAAGCTACCGCCATCCCCTGCCTAGCATTGGGGGGAAGTCAATAGCTTAGCTTTTGAATCATCAACTACCACATGAAACAACACAATCTGTGAAGTCTAAAAAAAAACTCATCTCTATCAAATCCTGTTTGAAGTGGTCGCACACGAGTCACTGAGTGCGCCAATGAACCTTCTGTGAAATGATAGATTTGAAATTTCTTTTTAAAGATCACAGACGTGCATTGTTATTGCAATGGATACGGATGAATGCACACAACCACGGTTCACACGCACGAAGGCACACACACACACATATACAAACACATACACAAGATCACACACATTCACACAAACAGAAAAAACTAGATGCAAAACCTATAAAAACAACAAAACATGCAAACATCAATACAAAACAATCCTGCAGATTACCACTACTATGCACTTCACAAGTAATCTTGGCACATGTACACATCTGGAAGTCAGAAGGAAATCTGAAAAACAAATAAGCAACGAATGAAGGAGAGGGAAAGAAGGAAGAGGGGAGAGAAGAAAATAATTATCAAAATGTGGAGAAAATTGAAAAGAAAGTAAGGCAAATGAGGATAATCTCCTCATTTGCAAAGTAAGCGCCACGAGTGCCACCAGCGCCACGAGTGCCACCAGCGCCACGAGTGCCACCAGCGTCACGAGTGCCACCAGCGCCACGAGTGCCACGAGCTCCACGAGCGCCACGAGCGCCTGAGCAACAGACTCCCCCAGTTTGGGAAGGGACCACCTCTCCCTTCACCTCTCACCTTGTCGTTGCGCCGGAACGCCTGCCTGATGATCCTCTTCAGCAGCAGCTCTCCCAGCTCCGCGAAATTGGTATTCACCACCGCCACCAGCGCCGCAAACAACAAGTTCCCAGCCAACAAAGTCCCGACCAACAGAAATCCGGTCAACAGAAAACCGAGACCAGTTTGTTCCTTCCCCTCTCACCTGGTCGTTGCGTCTGAACGCCCTGCGAAACTGCAGAATGATCCTCTTCAGCAGCAGCTCCCCTAACTTGGGAAACTTGGTATTCACCACCGCCACCACTAGCGCCGCAAACACGTGCGTGAAAATCAGACTGGCCATCTGCGACTTGATGCACGCGCTCTAGCCTCCAGGCACCTCCCAAAGAGCGGACATGTTTTGCCATCAACTCTCACCTTATCGTTGCGCCGAAACGCCCTTCGAAACTGCAGAATGATCCTCTTCAGCAGCAGCTCCCCCAGCTCGGGAAACTTTGTGTTCACCACCGCAACCAGCGCCGCAAACACGTGCGTGAACGTGGGGCTGGCCATCTGCGACTTGATGCACGCGCGGCACAGCAGCCCCCTGCCGCGCACCAGGTTCTCCCCAAAGAGCTCGGGGATGATGTTCTTGATGTTGCTGGCGTTGACTTTGTTGACCAGCCCGTTGATGGACTTGCGTAGCGCGTCCCACGTGAGGCGCTGGTACTCCGCGCTGCTGCGGTCGTTCACCTCCAGCAGCATGCGCGCCAGCTTGAACGGCGGGATGTACGCGCCTCCCGTGCGCCCTGTGTCCCGCGCTGCTGCTGCCTTGCCTGCAGCCGGACCTGCGCCTGGGCCTGCTGCTCCGCCAGCAGCGGCGGGGGCAGGACTGGCGGCAGCATCAGCATTGGGTGCGCGCACGAGAGCCCCCCGGCCCTCCATGCCTTCGCTTCGCCTCTCCTCTCCCTCCCACTCGCCCCTCCCCCTCTCTCGCCGCCCCTCCTCTCGCCTCCCTTCCTCATGCCTCCTGTGCCTATCCTCCCTCCCCCTCCCCCTCTCCCTCTCTCGCTCCCTCTCCCACTCGCCGCTGCTCTCACTCCCATCCGAATCAGACCCTCCCCGCCTGTGCCGCCCTGACCTGCCTCTCTCCCTCCTGCCGTCTCGCTCTCTATCCCTCTCCCTCTCCCTCTCGCCATCCCTTCGCCCATCCCTGCCGCCATCCCCCTCCCTCTCCCGTCGCCTCCCATCCACGTCTCGTCCCCTCTCGCCCTCCCTTCCCCTGTGGCTCTCCGTGCCCCTCTCTCCATCGCGATCTCGCATTTCTTCCCCAAGGCCATCCCTCGCCCTCATCTTACCTCTCCCCGGTCTCCCCTCGCCCATATCGCGCTCCTCCCGCTCCCCACTTGCCGCGCGACCCCCATGCCTCCCCTCCCCCCCGCGCTCCTCCTTCCGCCCAACCCACGCCCCCTCCCTACCCCCGCCCATCTCCCACCGCTCACCCCCCTCCTCCTCCTCGTCCACCTTACGCTCCCTCTCGCCCCTACGTGCCCCTTCACTCTTCTTCGCTTCCGCACGCTCCTCCTCTTCCCCCTCAAAATCCTCCCGAGTCTTCAACTTTCCGCCCCTTCCGCTGCCCCTTCCGCCCCCTCTTGCGCCATCGCTACCGCCCCTCTCCTCGTCGCTCTCATAGTCCGAATCATGCCTCCCCCTGCGGCGCGCAACTCCCGGCCCCCAATCTCCGCCTCCCCTTCCCTGATTCCCCACACCGTCGTCCTCTGGCGGACTCTTAGGACCTCCGCGGCCCTTCCGCTCATCCGCCCGCCCATCTCCCCTAGCGCCCCGCGCGTTCCGCGCTTTCCCCTTTCCGCGGCCTACATCCCGCGCGTCCTCGTCACTCCCGCTAGAGTCACCATCGATAGAAGCGGGGCTGTCGTTCCGCTCTTTACGGCCGCGCCTCCTCCTGAAATCTTCGTCCCTCTCGGAATCGCTATCGCTCCTATCGCGCATTGCTGCGACTTACCTTTTTCGGTCCCGGATCACAGAAAAAACGTTCTAAGCGGACCTCAAACCCACAGCCCGTAAGCGACTAGAACTCTTAGAAGTTGAATCAAGTAAGCGATTCGCAATAACGCGTGCTAGGAAGGGACGCAAAACCTAGGAGGCGTGTTGGTGGTGGAGTGGATCTAGTTGGGCAACAGCATTTAAGGTGGGTGTATGGCTTCGTCAAAATGGGGAAATTGCGAGAAGTAGAGATCGAGTTACCCTACAATATATGGAGGCCAGCAAGACCAATGAACTCTACACTGAACCCACTTTCCCTGTTAGCGGCAACAAAAAATTGTCAGAGCGATGTTTCGATCCTCGGACCTGTGGGTTATGGGCCCACCACGCTTCCGCTGCGCCACTCTGATCTGATTTATTGATCTAAATGTTATTTTGATCTCAATAATTTTATGTATATGTTTTTAAGTTGATTTGACAGAAGTTCCAGAGCAGGACCCACCATCAACCCATGGATGAGCCTCTTTGAAATACCTGACATCACAATTCGGGCACAACAAACCCTTAACATGTACCCATAAGCCTACATGTGGGTGTCCAAGTCGCAACATGCCAAACCCGCAGTGAACAGTAACATTCTAAGCATCCACGTTTCCCTAACATCAAAAAGGGCCTTGCATCGAATGCCTCATCTCATCTTCAACAGAATGAGACAGCCAGAGGAGCTGGGAGGAAGGATGATGGGGGAGACGGGGAAACCAGGAGAGGGTGGGTGGAACAGGGAAGGGCAGGATAGTTGGGTGGGGTCGGTGTAAGTTGTTACAGGTCAACCAGGAAGCAGAATCGGTCCTTATGTGAAAGATATGAGAAGTTTAGTGAATTACATATATATGTATGGTTACGGTGAATCCATACTGCAAAGCATGAATGTGAAAAACAAACACAGTCCGTGTACTAATGCCAGTGAGAGGCATCAGCAATAACCAGCAGTTCAGAGCCAAGTTTGCCTCCCAGGCCCCATGTACAGACTGCATGGTGTGCGCAGTGAGAAGCATTACTGCATGTGTGATTGGAATGGATTGATTGACTGGTTGTTAGGAACCCTGCGCATGAACAGCAACACGCATTGCATGTAAGAGAAGAAACTAGCAGTGTGTTGTGCAAACAAAGGCATGTGTGCACATGCACAAATGCAGACATGGGCACATGCACACATGGGCACAAGAACACATGGGCACATGCACACATGGGCACATGCACTGCACACATAGGCACAAGAACACATGAGCACATGCACACATGGGCAAATGCACACATGGGCAAATGCACACATGCATCTGCGCCCTCGGATCTGTACCCTCCAATCCGCACCCTCAAATCTGCACCCTCCAATCTGCACCCTCCAATCTGCACCCTCCAATCTGCATCCTCCAATCTGCATCCTCCAAACTGCGCCCTCCAATCTGCGCCCTCCAATCTGCACCCTCAAAGCTGTACCCTCCAAACTGCACGGACCAAACTTCTATTATCAGGCACCCGCCACAGCCCCCACCATCGTCACCATCCCCCCAAACGCCCTTAGTCCAGTTCCATTATCTTTGGGCGGCTTCATACCAGCCATTCAGATCGCCTTTGCTTGCCCTCAGACCTGGAGACTGCCTTGTTCAATGGCCATCGTCACTGCGAGCCTTCGCATCCAGGTCTGGGGCCGAGCAGCCTCAGCCTGTTGGAGCGAGCAGGCTGAGCCTCGGTTAGTAATCCTGTTGACGGTACACGCTCCGAGCCTGAAGCCTCGGCAGTCACTGGCATGCGCTTATTCTCACCTCACTACTCGCCGCGAGCCATCGCCACCATCCCTTGCCTCCATGCCCACGTGCTCCCCACACACCCAATCGCCTCATCTCATGCGCGCACTCGCACCACACTGCTCGCCCGAGCCATGGGCGAGCTCGAATTCTTAGTCGACTCAAGCAAGAATCAAGTCAGCGCCTGTTCCCTGGGCAGTCACTCTGCGCCGCCAGCGGCAGGTAGCGGCACGATCATGGTAATGCACGCCCCTCCCTATGCCATCGAGGTGACTTATGAGTTGACTCAAACGTCAGCGGCAGGCCGCAGAACGAGCATGATGATACACGCTCCCCCAACCGCCCCCGCCGCCCCCACCATCGTCACCACTGCCAAGGCCCTTTACCCTAGGTTGTCACTCCGCCGCGCCATCAGCGGCAGGGCGAGGCACGAACATGATGATACACGCTCCCCACACCGCCTTTTGAGACGCCTCCAAGTCAGTGCCTGTCCCCTCGGCTGTCACTCCGCGCCATCAGTGGCAGGCCGGGGCACAAACATGATTAAACACGTCCCCCCAACCGCCACTGACACCGACATGACTTTTGAAGTCGAGTCAACCGTCAGCGGCAGGGCGAGGCACGAACATGATGATACACGCTCCCCCCACCGCCACCGCCGCCCCCACCAAGTCCCACACGTCCGGAGCCGTCCGATCGACGGCCCAGCCCCACAGGAGCGCGAGCAGGATGAAGATCCCACCGTACGCTGCGTACGTGCGCGCGAAGGAAGCATCCTGGAAGGTGGCGACCAATCCGTAGCCGAAGAGGATCGCGGCGCCAAGGAAACACCAGGCCCAATGCCAGCCGTTGACTCGCCACTGCCACACGAACCAACCGCCGGCGATCTCGAGGATTCCCGCCGCGACGAAGAGCGCGAGCGACTTGAGAACGTCGAGCGGCGCGTAATTCATGCCGCGATGCCGCAATGCCGCCCGGAATGCTGCGATGACGGGATGCCGGCGATGCGTGCGAGATAGCTAGACGCGATGACGCAATACCGGATCTGAGTGCGTGCGTACGTGTGTGCTTCGGACACGAACTAAGTGTATATTGGGTCAGGGCGATGCCGAATAAGACGGCGTGATTTCTTTGCCGAATCAAAAGGGCCTCGAGGGCGTGGAGTGGCGCGTACTACTTCATGCCGCAATGCCGCCGCTGCGTGCGTATTAGGACACGAAAGGAAGCGCGGTTAGGTCGGGGAGATGCCAAATGACACAACGCCACGCCATACTACATGTTACTCGTAGAAGCCATTCTTTGATGCGGGACGCGCTACGGAAGTAGTATTCCTTTGTATTTATTCTTCGGCGGGTATTCCTTGATATTGACTTGCTTGGTCGATCCGCGCCAAGTTGGCACCCATACCAACCGCTTGCAACCGCGCTGCAAGGGGATCCCGTGAAAGATCGCACCCAAAACTTGGGCTCATATTCTGGCCGAGGCATCTTATGTGCGAGCGGACTCTAGCGCGAGCAGCAGAGGTTCGTACCAGAAAATGAACCGAACTAGATTTCTAGGTGTTGCAAAGAGTGGTTGGTCCAATTTTCATCTCAATCTGAAACTTGCGTGATCGTGTCACACTGTCTGGCCGTGTCTCGGAAAGCAGGTCGCGAAGGCTGCAGACTTTGCGGTGTAACCCGATTGGAAGGTTTGCGCGCTCCCACCGCTCAGCTCCAGTGATGTTCTGACCCGCGCCCTTATCTCTCGTTCTGCACGACTAGCCTTGCATTGCATGGCTCGAGCAGTTGAGGCGAAACAATGTCGCTTTTCTCGCTTCGCGTTCTCTCCACATGCACGTGCCACGTGGCGTTCCAGACTGAATCCATCCGCAGGGCTTCGGTTCCAGATTGGAATCGAAGCGCCAAGAGCCAGCAACGCGAACCAGGTTCATGGAGGTTCGGATTGGCCCGAACGCGCGCCAGGCTTGCGCCTGGGAAATTTCGATCGCTCTGCGGCCCTACCAAATTCAGAGAGCATGCGGCTCGGGCGCGCACACGAACGAGGGCGGCGACAGTCGGAAGGCGCCTCAGGGGGCGTGCGACGGTGGGAAGGGGCCGGTGGACTCAGAAGGGCTCTGCGGGATGCACCACGCGTCTCAGCTGCGCGCAGTTGTTCACACTAAACACTCGGACGATTCGCTCGGTCAGACGTTCCGCTGATAGGTTGTATCGTGTCCCCGTCCCTGTCGGCTTGTTCAACCCATAACATCCGCTACCCGGACGATCCGCTACGAGGATCCGCTAGTACCGTATCGGATCCACAGCAAGCCGTTGTGATGCGATGTTTGAATCGACTCGGATTTTTTCAAATCAGCTACCGCATTCGGACACACAGGAAGCCTCGTAAGGCCAGGAAGCAATAGCGGGGTGGAAGGGCACGGGGAAAGGGGCGTGAGTGCGCGCTGCGTGGGGGGGAGGCGCGTGAGTGCGCAGTGCGCGCCGCTGCAGGAGCAAAGGGGGGTAGCGGAGGAGCAGGAAGCGCTAAGGATAGGGAGTGCGGGAAAGCTCCTATAGGGGCAAGGCCAGAGGGCGGTGCGGCAGCAGCCTGCCGGAGGCAGAGGGGTGGGGATGGGTGGGCGTTGGTGGCGAGCGGTGGTGGGACGCCTGAGTCTCATGCAGCGAGGCAAGGCGCCCCTGAGGTACAGCCACAGCCGCAATCCCTGGCAGGGTGGGCGCGCTGGGGGAGCCAAGGGGGTTGCGGGGGCGGAGGGGGTTGGAGGGGCGGAGCACATGGGCGCGCAAGGGGGTGCGTGGACGGGGGGAGTTGCGCCAGGCAGGGGAGGGGGGTGGGGGTCGCTGCTGGTTGCCTGTGCTGCAGGGGCGGCTGGGTGTGCGGTGGTGGAGATGGGGGTGGAAAAGGGAAAAGAAGCTGCTGGCGTGATGGCGGATGCATGGAGGCAGATGCAGGGGGATTGGCTGCTGCTGCGGGTGGAGTGTGCTGACGTGGTTGCTCTTAGTGCTAGCATCAAATCTGATGATAGCGAATCGTTCTTGAAAAACCGTGAATCTGGTGGGGATGGTGGGGCAGGTGGGGCTGGTGGTGGAAATGAGAGAAATGGGAGCAGCAGCGTCGTTGCAAGCACCAGCAGTGAAATCACTGGTGGCAAGTCCAGTGGCGGCGTTGTGGGCAGGAAGCGGGTGGTGGTGCTGGGGTCGGGGTGGGGCGCGGTGAGCTTCCTTAAAGCCATAGACGCACATGGGTACGATGTGACTCTCATCTCGCCCCGCAACTTCTTCCTCTTCACGCCGCTGCTGCCAAGTGTCACCACAGGAGTGGTCGAGGGCAGGAGCATTGCTGAGCCAATCAGACGCATCCTGCTGCGGGTGAGTTTTCAATCAATCAGGTGCTGCCAGCAATGCCATGCCATGCAATCAGTGCCATTATCGAGTGCAGTAGCAAAGCCTTCGTGACTTATCCATCCCTCTTCTCCCGCTGCCCCTCGCCCCACTCACCTCCTCTTCCGCCCGCCTTCCTCTCGCCCTCCTATCAGCATGCATCACAGCTCGTTTAATTGCTGCCAAGTGCTCGAGGAGGGTCACAATTTGAGCTTCAAGGCGATGCCCGCCCTAACCTCCGACTTACCACTGCCTTCCCACCACATCCACTCTGCGCCCTCACTCAACCCCTTGCATCCCTCCCCTCCAGATCCCCCTGTGCTGGCAGCACAGCAGCTCGGCTCGTTTCCTCGAGGCGGAGTGCACGACCATCGACCCACCACTTGACACACAAGTGGCTGCTCTTTCTTCCTTCTACCCCCCCTCCCCCTCCTTCCCCCCCCTGCTCTCAGCATGGCAGCTCGGCTCGTTTCCTCGAGGCCGAGTGCATTGCCATCGACCCCGCCTCCAGGACCCTCTCCTGCCGCGCCCCTGCTGCCCTGCCCGCTGCCGCGCTGCCCGCTCCGCTGCCCGTGCCGGCTGTTGCAAAGGCTGGAGGCCAGAAGGAGGGTGACGGGGTAAGAGGAGGAGAAGGAAAAGGAGAAGGTGGTAATGCCTCGGGTGGTGGTGGTGGTAACGCTTCTCCTGCTGCCGCCGCTGCTGCTGCTGCCGCTGCTGCTGTTGGGGTTGGTGGTGATGCTGCTGCTCGAAATGCTGCTGCTGCTGGGGGTAAATCTGGCGGTGAGGCGAGGGGAGAAGGTGGCGGGGAGTGTGGTGGGGCGAGGGAGGTTCACTTCTCAGTGCCGTACGACATGCTGGTGGTGGCCGTGGGGGCCGTGCCCAACACATTCAATGTTCCAGGCGTGCAGCAGCACTGCCACTTCCTCAAGGCAAGTACTGGCCACCAGGCATGGGGTAGGGGCACGGGGTAGGGGCACGGGGCACGGAGCACTGGGCACGTGCCTCGCTGCGTCTTGCCGCGTCGCTGTGTACTTCTGTGATTGCCTGTTCTGCGTGTCACTCCTGAAGGTTCGCTGCCAGGAGACTGGTCACTCCTTGTACCACCCTCCGCAATCTCTTGTTCCACCTCATGTGCCTATCCATTCTCCCCATCATCCCGGCATGCCGTCTCCCCCATCTCTCTACCCCATCTCTCCTCGTCATCTCTCCCCCCATCTCTCCTCGCCATCTCTCCCCCCATCTCTCCTCGCCATCTCTCCCCCCATCTCTCCTCTCCATCTCTCCCCCCACTCTCCTCGCCATCTCTCCCCCCATCTCTCCTCGCCATCTCTCCCCCCATCTCTCCTCGCCATCTCCCCCCCATCTCTCCTCGCCATCTCTCCCCCCGTCTCTCCTCGCCATCTCCCCCCCAATCTCTCCTCGCCATCTCCCCCTCAATCTCTCCTCGCCATCTCCCCCCCAATCTCTCCTCCCGCCCCCTGCGTCTCGTCATCCCCCCTGCCAGTCTCTGGACGATGCAGAGGCCATCCGAAACACGCTCATTGACTGCTTCGAGGCGGCGTCTTTGCCGGGAATCGAAGCAGAGGAGCAACACAGGTAGCCACTAGGAGCAGCAGAGGTAGCAAGCACCACCTTTACGTGCCACTCGTCCGTGTTGTGTTGTGCCACTCTCCTCCTTCTCCCGCTTCCCTCTCTGTCCTCCTTCATCTGTCACTTCCTTGCCTCTCCCAGCCTTCCACCACCACTTTATGCACCCTTCTGTGCCCCTCTGAACACCTCTTTGTCTCGCTATGCGCCACTCCCCTTCTCCACCCCGCACCCCCCATCCCCCACCTCTCACCGCTTTGATCCGAAACACGCCCATTGACCCTGTGGCCCTCGCCCCTCAATCCCGCATGTCGCTTGTCGTACCTCCGTTTTATCCTTCCACCCCACCGGCTGCTGCGCGTAGTGGTGGTGGGGGGCGCCCCCACAGGGATGGAGGTGAGGGATGAGGTGCGTCTCATTTCTTGTCTTGCCAGCAGCAGCGAGATGAGACAAGAAACGGTGGTAGTGTTACCTCTTCCTAGTGTTAGTGACAGCAGCAGCGAGGTGAAATGAAAAGTGAAACAAAGAGAGACAGGCCTCACTTTTTGTCCTACCTCTCTATAACCCTCCGTCCACCTCAGGCTGCTGCACGTGGTGGTGGTGGGGGGCGGTCCCACAGGCGTGGAGGTGGCAGCAGCAGTGCACGACATGGTGCAGGGGGACCTGTACCACCTCTACCCCACACTCAAGGGCAAGGCTTCCGTCTCTCTGCTGCAGTCAGGCGACCACATTCTCAACATGTGAGATTGGATTGGGTACTCTCAGGGGGATTTTGAGGTGCCTGACGGGGGTGGAGTGGAGGTGGCTGGCAGCAGCAGTGCACGTCACGACATGGTAGAGGGGGACCTCTGCCGCCTTTATCCTGCCCTCAAAGGGAGGCCTCTGTGTCTTTGCTACGGTCAGGGGATCACATTCTCAACATGCCTGCCTCATCTCACCTCTTCTCACCTAACAGTCAGGGGATCACATTCTCAACATGCCTGCCTCATCTCACCTCTTCTCACCTAACAGTCAGGGGATCACATTCTCAACATGCCTGCCTCATCTCACCTCTTCTCACCTAACAGTCAGGGGATCACATTCTCAACATGCCTGCCTCATCTCACCTCTTCTCACCTAACAGTCAGGGGATCACATTCTCAACATGCCTGCCTCATCTCACCTCTTCTCACCTAACAGTCAGGGGATCACATTCTCAACATGCCTGCCTCATCTCACCTCTTCTCACCTAACAGTCAGGGGATCACATTCTCAACATGCCTGCCTCATCTCACCTCTTCTCACCTAACAGTCAGGGGATCACATTCTCAACATGCCTGCCTCATCTCACCTCTTCTCACCTAACAGTCAGGGGATCACATTCTCAACATGCCTGCCTCATCTCACCTCTTCTCACCTAACAGTCAGGGGATCACATTCTCAACATGCCTGCCTCATCTCACCTCTTCTCACCTAACAGTCAGGGGATCACATTCTCACCTGCCTCAGTCAGGTGAGAAGAGGTGAGATGAGGTGAGGCATGCCGTGAATGGCGTAGACCTGTCTGTACCACCTCTACCCTGCCCTCCATGGAAAAGCCTCCGCTCCTCTGCTACAGCCGGGTGAACACATACCAGGTGGTGCTGTCAGTGCCACGAGCCATGGCTTGGATTTTGAGTCTTACTCGACAATGCACACCTGCAGATGAGTGTTTCTGAGAGTTCTCAGAAACGCCCTGCAGCCACGGCTGGGGTTTTGAGTCTTACATTGATGATGCACACCTGCAGATGGGATGGGTCAGGTCAGCCCCCCATTCCCCAATTGACATCCCCATGGCCTTCTCCCTCTCAGCTAAAACCTCACTCCCTCTTAACATCCTTCCCATGACCTCCCCATGCCCTCCCCGTGCTCGCACCCCTGCCTTGCTCCCCCCTTGCCTTTTGGTGCCGCCCGCTATCAGGTTTGATCTGCGCATATCTGAGTTTGCCGCCCGCAAGTTCCAGCGGGACGGCATCACTGTTCACACGCACGCGCGCGTCACGGCTGTCACTCCGCGCGCTCTCCATGTGCGGGAGACGAGCAGCAGCAGGGAGAGCGGCAGCAGCGATGGCAGCAAGAGTGGAGTGCACGGCCGCAGCAGTGCGGAGAGCAGTAGTGGTGGAAAGAGCAGCGGGGAGAGGGAGGTGCCGTATGGAGTGGTGGTGTGGGCAACAGGCATCACGGCGCATCCCCTGGTTGTGAAGCTGAGGGAGCAACTTGGGCAGGTGAGTTTTGGGGCAGGTACAAACTGTGAACAGAGCGGTGGTGCGAAAAGCAGGAGGCAGAGGGAGGTGCAGTATGCGTATGGAGTGGTGGTGTGGGAGCGACAGGCATCACGGCCCATCCCCTCGTTGTGCAGTTGAGAGAGCAACTGAGGCAGGTAAATTGACACCAGAGTGGATGGCAGTGAGTGGATGGCAGTGAGTGGATGGCAGTGAGTGGATGGCAGTGAGTGCCCACATCAACCGCTCTCTCTTCTCCCCATTGGAGCACCACAAGCGGAGATGGATGGTGGATGCAGTGAGGGGGCACACACCACTCTCATCACGTCCTCTTCTGTTTTCCCTCTTCGCTCCGCCTCTTGAATCCTGCTTACATTCCCCCTTCCCGCCTACACCGTTGCAGCACCACAAGCGAGCATTGGAGGTGGACGAGTGGATGGCAGTGAGAGGGGCAGACAGCATTCTCATCACCGTTCCCTCTTTCCTTTGATGCTCCCCTTTCCTCTCCCCTCTGCAGCACCACAAGCGAGCATTGGAGGTGGACGAGTGGATGGCAGTGAGAGGGGCAGACAGCATTCTCATCACCGTTCCCTCTTTCCTTTGATGCTCCCCTTTCCTCTCCCCTCTGCAGCACCACAAGCGAGCATTGGAGGTGGACGAGTGGATGGCAGTGAGAGGGGCAGACAGCATTCTCATCACCGTTCCCTCTTTCCTTTGATGCTCCCCTTTCCTCTCCCCTCTGCAGCACCACAAGCGAGCATTGGAGGTGGACGAGTGGATGGCAGTGAGAGGGGCAGACAGCATTCTCATCACCGTTCCCTCTTTCCTTTGATGCTCCCCTTTCCTCTCCCCTCTGCAGCACCACAAGCGAGCATTGGAGGTGGACGAGTGGATGGCAGTGAGGGGCGCAGAGGCGGGCAGCATGTGGGCGCTGGGCGACTGTGCTGCCATTCACCACCGCCGCTTCACGACTGTGCTGCCATTCACCACCGCCCCTTCACGACTGTGCTGCCATTCACCACCGCCCCTTCACGACTGTGCTGCCATTCACCACCGCCCCTTCACGACTGTGCTGCCATTCACCACCGCCCCTTCACGACTGTGCTGCCATTCACCACCGCCCCTTCACGACTGTGCTGCCATTCACCACCGCCCCTTCACGACTGTGCTGCCATTCACCACCGCCCCTTCACGACTGTGCTGCCATTCACCACCGCCCCTTCACGACTGTGCTGCCATTCACCACCGCCGCTTCACGACTGTGCTGCCATTCACCACCGCCGCTTCACGACTGTGCTGCCATTCACCACCGCCCCTTCACGACTGTGCTGCCATTCACCACCGCCCCTTCACGACTGTGCTGCCATTCACCACCGCCCCTTCACGACTGTGCTGCCATTCACCACCGCCCCTTCACGACTGTGCTGCCATTCACCACCGCCCCTTCACGACTGTGCTGCCATTCACCACCGCCGCTTCACGACTGTGAGGGGGGCAGCATGTGAGGGGGGCAGCATGTGAGGGGGGCAGCATGTGAGGGGGGCAGCATGTGAGGGGGGCAGCATGTGAGGGGGGCAGCATGTGAGGGGGGCAGCATGTGAGGGGGGCAGCATGTGAGGGGGGCAGCATGTGAGGGGGGCAGCATATGGGGCTGTCTGTACCCATCAGCCCCCTATCGCATCCCCTCCACCTACACTTCCCTTCACCCCTCTTCTTTCCCATGTGCTCCCGGTTTGTTCTCAGATCGCAATAGCTCATCTCTTTCCCTTGTCTCCGACAGTTATTGCCGTCCCTTTCCTTGCACTCTCTCCTCCCCTCTTTCTCCCCCCTCCCCTCTTTCTCCCCGCTCCCCCCCCCCCCCCCCCCCCCCTTTCTCCCCCCTCCCCCATCCGCCCCTTCATGTCCCCTCACGTCGCGCCTCCGTTTTCCCGCCTCTTTCCCCCACCGCTACGCCCCGTCCAACCCCTCGCATGATCATTGTGCGTGCAGGACGAGGCAGCTCGCATATTCCTTACTCTCGCCTTCTTCCCTGTCCTTCCATGCCCCGCCCCGTCTCCCATGTCACCACTCTGCTCCTCTCACTGTGCGGCCAGGACGACACAGCGCGCATATTTCGAGCCTTTGACACCAACGGGGATGGCTGCCTCTCGCCCTCCGAGACCAAGGCAGCCCTGCGAGCCCTCCAGCAGCGCTACCCGCATGCTGCCGCTCTGCTCAGGTCACGGGACCGCATGGCACAGCTCGTTCAGGTACACCCCTGTCCCTTTTCCTGCTGCCACCCAGTCTCTGAGTCCAAGACGACTCGTCAATCCCTCTTACTATAGCTGTGCTGCTCTCATGCTGCCGCTCTGCTCAAATCAAGGGACCGCATGGCACAGCTCGTTCAGGTACACCCCCCTTCCCCCTCACACTGCCCCTGTGCTGCTGTGGAGAGATGGGTCAAGCGAGCTCCTTCTGGTAGATACGGATGGATGCGGTGCGGTTGGTGTTTGACGGTGTGCTGAGGGGTCAGTCAAGTCATCCCACCTTCATGCGGCAGGGATGGAAGGAGCGAAGTTTTAACTGCATCTGCTGGCACCGAGCTGCGTCTGCTAATACCCAGCTGCATCTGCTCCCACCAAGCTGCACCTGCTCCCACCCAGCTGCATATGCTATTACCCAGCTACATCTGCTTCCACCCAGCTACATCTGCTTCCACCCAGCTACATCTGCTTCCACCCAGCTACATCTGCTTCCACCCAGCTACATCTGCTTCCACCCAGCTACATCTGCTTCCACCCAGCTACATCTGCTTCCACCCAGCTACATCCGCTTCCACCCAGCTACATCTGCTTCCACCCAGCTACATCTGCTTCCACCTTAGCGGATGGAGCTGGGAGGCTTAGGGTTGTGGTATTGGGGGTGGGGAGGTGGGTGGCAGACGTAGGGGAGGAGGTGAGCAGGGGGGGCTGTGAACTTACTGTTGCTTGTATGGGACAAACACTGAGACAAAAACAGTTCCGATGCACCCTCCACCCGCACCCCATGTTGTTCTCACTTGCACACCCATCCTGCTTTCTTCTTTCCTCTTCCCCTCGCGCCTTTCCCCCTGGCTCCTCGGTTTCTGTTTCCCCCACGAGCCGGCGCATTGGCAGGATGCATTGCACGCGGACAGCAAGGCAGGAGCACCGCCAGGCACAGGGGAGCACCGCCAGGCACAGGGGAGCTGGGAAATGAGGGGGGCGAGCAGCAGGCGTGCGAGGGCAGGGAGCTGTCTCTGGAGCAGTTTGAGGCGGTGCTGCGGCGGGTGGAGGGGCAGATGAAGACCCTGCCGGCCACGGCACAGGTGGCAGCGCAGCAGGGGCAGTACGTGGCGCGCTGCTTTAATCGCCTGCTGGACCCGGGGTTGACCCCGGAGGGGCCGCTGAAGCTGCGAGGGGAGGGCCGGCATCTGCTGCAGCCATTCCGGTGAGTGGAAGGGCAGATAGAGGCCCTGCCAGCCATGGTACAGAGGCCGTGCAGCAGGGGCAGTACGTGGCTCGCTGCTTCAAACCGCCTGCTGAACCCTGCTCTACCGCCCGAGGGGCCGCTGAAGCTGCGAGGGGAGGGCAGGCACCTGCTGCAGCCGTTCCGGTGAGTAAAGGGGTGTGATGGGTGGTGGGATCAGTGGTGGGATGGGTGGTAGGGCTGGTGGTGGGACGGGATGGCGCAGCAAGAGCAGTACGTGGCGCGCTGCTTCAACCGCCTGCTGGACCCTGCTCTACCGCCCGAGCTGAGAGGCGAGGGCCGGCATCTGCTGCAGCCGTTCCGGTGAGTGGAATGGTGGGATGGGTTGTAGGAAGGATGGGTGGTAGTGGGATGGACGGTCCTTTCAATTGCATCTCACGCAACCCCCCTCCCTCCGCCCTCCCACCACGCAACCAGCTATGTTCATCTGGGGCAGTTCGCCCCTTTGGGGTCGGAGGCCACGGCATCAAAGCCGCTTATCTATCCCAACTGCTCTATTTGTGCCAATTGCTTGTTGTGACCCTGCCCTCCAACATGCAACCAGCTATGTCCACTTGGGGCAGTTCGCCCCTCGGGGTCGGAGACCACGGCTGCGCCTTTTGTGACATCTGAAAACTCCCCTCCGCCCCTCCCCCCTCTCCATCCCCCCTCCCTCCATGCATGCATCCAGCTACGTCCATTTGGGGCAGTTCGCCCCGCTTGGGTCGGAGACCATGGCAGCAGAGCTGCCTGGCGACTGGGTCAGCATCGGCCGGTCCACTCAGTGGCTCTGGTACTCCGTGTATGCCAGGTGGGTGTGATGATGAAGGCCTTTGGTGGCTCTGGTACTCTGTCTATGCCAGGTGGGTGTGCAGCACTCTGTGTCGACAGGTGGGTGTGTTGTGCAGAATGCGTGCTTGCATTCATGTTCTTCACTTGCAGGTCCACACAGTGCCTCTGGTAATCCGTGTATGCCAGGTGAGTGCGCTGTGCAGTATGGGTGCATGCATGTGCTTTGATTGGAGGTCCACACAGTGGCTCTGGTACTCTGTCTACGCCAGGTGGGTGTGTTGTGTACCGTATTGTGGGTGCGTGCATTCTTAGGCAGCAGAAATGCTGCAGCACACTGGGGTCCCTTCTTAGGATCCTTCCAGGAAAAATGCTGCAGCACTCTCTTACTTATGCTTCCCCGTGTCTCACTCTCCTTGCAGTAAGCAAGTCAGTGCGAGGACAAGAGCCCTGGTGGTGTTTGACTGGATCAAGTCGGCTCTATTTGGCCGTGATTCAAGTCGCATGTGAATACGGTAGTGTTGTACTTGCTTAATTGGTTGGTTGATGTTGGGCTGAGAAAGGCTCGTAGGATCTTTTCAAGGCTAAAATCTTAGGTAGGAATAATGTGATTGCGGAAGCGTTTAATGACAAACTGTTGAACCACCTTGCGCTGGTATGTGAGGGCAAGATAGATTTATTATAGCCAGGGCCTCAGAAGTCAGCGAAAAAAAGGCTGATTTGGGTGAAAAAGGCTGAGATTTCAGACCTTTTTCAAAATTGTAGCTGATTTTCCAGCATTTTACTGTGGAAGAACAGGAAAATTTATGTGCTTTGTAGTGTAAACTGGCATATGATGGCAGATTTTTCTGATTTTTAGTTTTTTTTTTTTGAACAACTCTGATTGGTTCAGCCTAGCTCAAAACCAATCTTAGGCCCTGATCATAGCAAAGTGTCAAATGTTATAGCCTCAAGTGGGTTGTCAAGATATATTAGATAGGCTATATTGGGGTCAGCACTAGGGGGTACACAAACACTCTCGACACTCTTCTTGTACCCTCACCCCTTGACCTAATTCAACTCCTTTCCTTAGTTTTAGACATGGTATAGAGCAGGAGGTCCTTAGGACCTTAGAAGCTGTTCTTTTAGGGCCCACCCTAAAATCGCATATGGTTACCGCGTTACCCTGCGCCCGCCCTGCCCTACTACGAGTCGCGCTGCCCCTGCTGGCCGCGCGTCATAGCTGCAGCGCGCATTTCCTCTTTTTTTTTTCGCGCGCTGCCCTGCCCGCCCTGCTCTACGCGCGCTGCTCGTCGCGTCGCCCCGTGGGCTCGCCCGTCGACCCGCCGAGCCGCCCGTAGGCCCGCGCACCGCGTCGCCCGTAAGCCCGCGCGTCGCGCAGCCCGTAGGCTCGCCCGTCGACCCGCCGAGCCACCCGTAGGCCCGCGCGCCGCGTCGCCCGTAGGCCCACGCGTCGCGCCGCCCGTAGGCCCGCCCCTCGACCCGCCGAGCCGCCCCTAGGCCCGCGCGCAGCGACGCCCGTCGGCCCGCGCGTCGCGCCGCCCGTAGGCCCGCCCCTCGACCCGCCGCGACGCCCGTAGGCCCGCGCGCCACGCCCCCTGCCCGTTGACCCACTGCGAAGCCCGCCAGCCAGCGCACTGCACCGCTGCCTACATGCCTCCGCGCCTGCTTAAACGTTAGTGACTGTCTCCCCCCCCCCTCCCACGGCGCTCTCTCTCTCTTTCTTTCGCCCCCTATGGCAACCTCCCGAGTACTTCGCTTCGACCCTGAGGGGAGACCGATTGACTTTAGTACGTGGCTTACGCAGGCGCAGCGCCACCTTAAGAGCCAGCGGCAGGATGGCGTGCACCTGTTCGCACACGCGTCCGGCACTCTGACCGCCCCTCTGTAGCCTCGGCCGCTGCTCACTACCCCACCGCCTACTTCTGAGCAGGAGGCCGAGTACCAGCGCCAGCTCCTCGCTCGCGACGTATGGGAGTCTCGTGACGCCGCTGCCTGCCTCGCCCTGACCGACCTTCTCCCACCGACAGAGGCGGTCCACTTCGCACAGGTCGAGTCTGCTGCAGATCTGTATAAGGCTATTGTTGCTCGCTACTCCACTCCCTCCTCTGCTTCGCTCAGTCGCCTCCTCGTATCCTTTATCTACCCTGACCTCGCCTCCTTTGAGACTGTCTCGGACCTCGCTACCCACCTGCGCTCCCTTGACGCTCGCTTTCGCGCTGCTTGCACTGAGGATCAGCTTGCCCTTGCCCCGCCCCCTATGTGGCTCACCATTCACTGGTTAGTCACTCGCCTCCCTGACCGCCTAGCCACAGCCCGCGAGGCGCTTCTTCTGAAGCACCCCACTGAGCTTACCATCGATCTTCTTGAGACCGCTCTCTCGAAGATCGAGAGTAACCTTCTCACTGTTGCCTCTGCCTCTTCCGCGCCTCCTCCTCGTCTCTTTGAGGGGTGTGCGGTACCACGGCTTCCCACCTTCACTGCCTCACTTGCCACCCCCACGTCGTCTTGCTCTGAGGAGACGGCGGCTGTTTCTGTCTCTGGCGGACAAAAACGTGGCAAGGCCGGCAAGAAGGGCGAGAAGGGCGGCGGGGGTACCGGGGGTGGTGCGGGTAGTGGCGGCGGCGGTGGGGCGGGTGGTGGGAGCAGTGGTGGGGGTGGCTCGGGCCCTGACGGCCCTCCTCTTGACGGTGGAGTTTTCACTGGTGGTGCGGGGTTCCAGCAGCAGCAGCAGCAGCAGCAGCCGACTTCTCAGCAGCTGCCACCGCCTGGACAGCAGCAGCGGCAGGGACAGCAGCAGCAGCGCCCGCCACAGCAGCAGCCGCAGCAGTGGGGCCCGCCGCAGCAGGCCCTCAGCAGCAGTGGAGGTCTGCTGGTCCCCCGAGCACTGGGCGCAGTGGTGCCCCCTCCAGTCGGGGGCCTCGCTCGGCTGGCCGCGACGTTGGTCCTTGTGAGTACTGGATCCTTACGGGTCTTCGTAGGGACTCGTACTGTGGCCGCCCCGACCACTCTACTGCACGCTGCTTCAGTCGTCTCGACGACCTCTACCGTTTGCACCACGGCCCCTCCGCTCCCCCGCCGCCACGCGGGGGGACGCTTCTTGCTCGTGGTATTGCTGTTTTTGATATGACTATGGATGATGCTAGGTCCTATGCCATGTATGCTGATGTTGACTATAGTGCTCCTGGATCTGTGTACTTGCCTGTACCTAGCTTAGGCTCTTTGCCTGTTGCTAGAGTAGGTGCTAGTGTAGGATCTTGCTTAGCTACTAGTATAGGTACTCCCTCGGCGGACGCCTCTCTCTCTTTCACACTGGACTCAGGAGCGACGCAGTGCTTCTTTCACGACCGCACGACTCTCTCTCCACTACCGGCGCCAGTCTCCATAGCACTGGCCGATCCCTCTTCGGGACCGGTCATTGCGACTCACGCCACTACGCTCCCGTGCCCAGCTGCTCCTTCCGGTTCCCTGACTGGCCTCCACATTCCTACGTTCTCTAGGAACCTGGTTGGTGTGGGCCCCCTGGCGAGACAGCACGTCGGGGTCTGGGTTGAGCCTTCTGGTGACACAGCGGTCTGTGTGGACGGTGACACGTACGCCCCCTTGGCCACTTTTCGCCAGGAGCCGGGCTCCGGTCTCTACACCCTCCACACCGACCCCCGTCAGGTTCCTCCGTCCCACCAGGTTGCCAGGTCCAGTCAAGTAGCTGTGTCCGGTCTAGTTGCTGCGTCTGGTCAGGTCCCCGCGTCAGGTCCAGTTGCTGCGTTGTGCTCCTGCCGGTCGCTTGCTCACCCCACCGTTCTGTGGCACCACCGGATGGGGCACCCGTCCCTCCTTCGTCTCCGCGCTATGTCCAGTCAGCGTCTTGTCTTAGGCCTCCCCCGAGTCCTCCCGCCACTCCCGCCGTCCCCAGCTCCTCCGAGCGGTCCTTGTGTCCAGGGCCAGCTGCACGCCACCCCTCACTCCTCCTCCCTTCGTCCGGCCACCGAGCCCTTTGAGACTCTCTACTTAGACGTCTGGGGCCCCGCTCCTCGTCTTGGCCCTCAGCGGGAGTGTTTCTTTCTGGTGGTCGTTGACGACTACTCTCGGTACACCACCGTGTTCCCTTTGGCGAAGTAGTCCGACGTGACTTCTACGCTGATCCGGTGGCTCCTCGCCACCGAAGGCACTCATGGTCGTCGTGTCAGTTGTCTTCACTCCGACCGTGGGGGTGAGTTTCGCTCCGGCATTCTCGCCAGATTCAGTGCTGAGCAGGGCATCACCCAGTCCTGGACTCTTCCAGACTCTCCACAGCAGAATGGGGTTGCTGAGCGCCGCTTAGGCCTGGTCATGGAGATCGCCCGCACCTCCATGATCCACGCCCGCGCGCCCCATTTTCTGTGTCCCTACGCAGCTCGGTACGCCGCTCACCAGCTGAACCTCTGGCCTCGCGTCTCTCGGCCAGTGGCTTCACCGACCAGTCTTTGGACAGGGTCCCCTGATGTTGCGTCGAGGTTTAGTGTCTGGGGCTGCTTGGCTCTTGTCCGCGACACCTCTACGGACAAGATCTCGCCTCGCGCTGTCCCCTGTGTCTTCCTTGGTTTCCCAGAGGGCTCCTCTGACTTCACCTTTTACCACCCTCCCTCCCACCGGTTCTTTGACTCTCGTGACGTCCGCTTCGACGAGTCCGTCCCCTACTACGTCCGGTACCCCTGTCGAGGTCTCCTGGTTCCCCCCCCTCCCCTCTTCCTGGCTCTAGCTCCTCCTCCTCCCGCCCCTGCTCGTCCGGTACCCCCCCCCTGTTCCCGCTCCGTCTGGTGTGTCCCACGCTACCCCCCCCTCCCTCGGTACCCCCCCAGGTCTCTCCTCCTTCCCCACAGTCGTCCTCACAGCCTCCACAGCAGCTGTCAGCGCTTCCTTTACCGGCCACTGCGGACTCTGAGGGTGTTGGTGCTCGAGGTGAGGGCTCTGGCGGTGCTCGCTCTGGGGTTGCTGGCGTTGGAGTTGTTTGTGCACCTACAGGAGCCGCCCGTTTTGGGGGTGTTGGCGTTGG